CCCCAGGGCCTATTCCCAGCCCCCACCCTCGAGCCGTGTCTCTGTTCCACTCGGCCACTGGCATGTCCCACCCCAGAGCCAGCCGCATTTCAGTCCTGTGTCCCCAGGGCCAAAGCCCTACCCCAGAGGCAGCCGCATCTCTGTTCTACTCGGGCACCGACACCCCCCACCCCAGAGCCGGCTGCGCTCCAGTGCCCAGCTTTGTACCCCCAGCCCCTGCTCCACCCCAGAGCTGGCTGCATCTGTTCTACTCAGCTGCCAGCACGGCCCACCCCAGAGCCAGCTGCAGCACAGACCTGGATCCCCAGCCCTGACTCCCGCCAGAGCCAGCAGCCTCTGTTCCATTCAGCCTCTGGCACATCCCACCCTAGAGCCAGCTGCATTGCAGGCCTGCGTGCCCAGGGCCCAAGGCGTCTCTGTTACACTCAGCCATCAACATCCCCCACCCCAGTGCCCGGCTTTGTAACCCCATCCCCTGCCCCACCCCAGAACTGGCTGCATCTGTTCTACTTGGCTGCCAGCACAACCTCCCTCCCCGAGCCAGCTGTAGCACAGACCTGGATCCGCAGCCCTGATGCCCCCAGAGCCGGTGGTCTCTGTTCTACTCAGCCGCTGACACATCCTACCCCAGAGGCAGCCGCATTGCAGCCCTGCATCCCCACGGCCCGCGTCCGCCCCAGAGACAGCTGCAACCCCCTCCCGCCCCCAGGTACTGGATTTCCGCCTTCCCGGCGGAGTTCGACCTGAACCAGGACCTGGCCCAGCAGATCAAGGAGCTGAAGGCAGCCCTGGCCCAGGATGGCAACCGTCGCCATAGCAACCTGATTGACATCGAGAACGTGTAAGGAGGCGGGGCCCCATGGGGGCGGGGCTTGGGCCAGGGGTGAGGCTCCGCCCAGGTGCCCTGGAGGTGGAGGGTTGGGGGGGCACCTGGTGTGTGTGCGCGTGTATGTGTGCGCATGGGCATGAGTGCACGTGTGTACATGCACACACGTGTGAGTGCATGTTAGTGTGGGTGCATATATGTGCGAGTGCACATGTGGGTGAGCATGCAGGTGTGAGTGCATATAGGTGTGTGCACACATGGGTGAACATGTAGGTGTGAATGCACACCCATGTGAGTGCATACGTGTGTGAGTGCACAGGCATGTGAGTGTATGCTGGTTAGCACACATATGGGTGTGAGTTCATGCTTCTGAGTGTGCATGGGTGTGAGTGCATACACTTGTGACTGCACATGCTTGTGATTGCACACATTTGTGAGTTGAAACGTGGGCCCACACAGGTGCACAAGTGGGCCCAGGCCAGGCCTGGCCCATGGGTTTGGGTGTGCATGCATGCAAGTGCTGCACGTGCACGAGCTGGCGTGTGCACAAGGGGCCCTGCAGGGTTTGCTAGCTCTGGCCCACATGAGCGTATGACTCGCCCTCGTGTTTGCACGTCCATGTGTGAGCGGGGTGGGGATGAGTGCTGATTAGTGTGTGCACTATTGATGGGTGCTTGCACACACCACCTGTGCACAGCTTGCCTGCCCTTGCACAAGCACATGTGCTGTTGTAGGGGTTTCCTCATGTACATGCACAAGCATGTGCTCTTGCACATCTGTGTACCTGTGCATGCACATATACAGCTGCAGGCACTTGCCTGTGCTTGGCTTGCATGCACTTGCACACATGTGTGCCTATGCAAGAATAAGTGCCTGCACAATTGTGAGTGCCATTGGCACGCATTTGCACACATGTAGGCTTGCAGACATATGCATGGCACCATGGCTGCTTGCACAAGTGTGTACAGAGCCACATGTACACGTACAAGTTTGTGCTCAAGTTAGGTGTACTTGCACACATGTATGCTTGCATGCACATGCCTTCACTGCAGGTCCTTGCCCAGGCCTCTTCCCTGCTGAGGTCTGAGTAACGCTTGCATTCACTTGCACACGCGTGGGCTGACACAAGCCTGCGTACTTGCAGGAGTGTGCGTGCAGCTGCATGTGCTTGCATGGGCACGTACACGTGCACAAGCACCTGCTCTGTCTGTGTGTGCAGTTGTACACACAAGTGCACACACGAGAGCACAGGTGTGTGCTTGCACAAGCGGGGGGGGCTGAAGGACCCGTGGGAGAGGGAAAGCAGGTGCCTGGGACACAAGTGCACACTGGTGCCATGTGCTCACCCCATGCCTGACCACCCTTCCCCTCCCGTCCTGGGGCCAGGCCACGGCAGCAGTGGCGCCGGCAGCTGACCCAGCGTAACCCTGCGGCTCCCAAGCGCAAGACCTCCCTGCTGCTGGACCACCTGGAGCCGCCCGAGCTGGCCGCGCACCTCACCCTGCTGGAGCACCGCGCCTTCGGTCGCATCCTGGTGCGAGGGCCGGGGGGCCTGAGACCATTCTGGGGGCTGGGGGACCCTTTGGAGGGGGATGGGGCGGCCTCTGGGAGGAGGGAGGGGAGCTGGGGGGATAGGGGGACCCCTGGAAGGGGGATAGGGGTCTGGGGAGCCCCTGGGAGGAGGCTGGAGGCTGATACTGGGGGGTTGGGGGTGCGGGGGGACCCCGGGGAGGCAGAAGGGGGGCCCTAGGGGGTCCTGACCCCCCTGGGCGGTGCCAGTTCCAGGACTACCACAGTTTCGTGACGCATGGGGCCACAGTGGACAACCCGGTGCTAGAGCGCTTCATCGCCCTCTTCAACGGCGTCTCGCGCTGGGTCCAGCTGCTGGTGCTGAGCCAGCCCAGTGCCCCCCAGCGTGCCCGCGTGCTCGCCCGCTTCGTGTGCGTCGCCCAGGTACTGCACCCCGTCCCGGGGGGCCCTCACTCCCAACCCGCAGCCCCCTGACCCCCCAGGCCTGCTGGTGCCCCTCACTCCCGACTTGCAGTCCCCGGCTGCCCCCAGCCCTGTGCCCCCTGCCCCAGCTCCTGTCTGCATTGTGAATCCAGCCTGTCTCCCCCCCGGCCCCGTTCTCTCCCCGTCCGTCCGTCCGTCCGTCCGCTGCGCCGGCGCTGTCTGTCCATGCAGCACCTGCTGGAGCTGCAGAACTTCAACACGCTGATGGCCATGGTCGGGGGCCTGAGCCACAGCTCCATCTCCCGCCTCAAGGAGACGCACGCCCATGTCGGCTCTGAGACCACCAAGGTGCCAGGAGAGGGGCTGGGGGGAGGCTGGGAGCTGAGAGCTCGGGGCACAGGGAGCGCGGGGGATTGGATGTTGGGTGCTCCGGGCACTGGATACACTAGGTTTTTGATGCACTGGACATTGGGTGCATTGGGTGCTGGGTGCACTGGCTATTGCTTGCACTGGATCCTGGGTGCTCTACATACTGGTTGCACTGGGTGCTTCAGGCACTGGGTGCATCGTGCTGACCCCTGTCCCCTGCCCCGGGCCCAGCTGTGGGAGTCGCTGACAGCGTTGGTGAGTTCAGAGGGCAACTATGGGCAGTACCGGCGGCACCTGAGCCGCAGCGTGGGCTTCCGGCTGCCGGCACTGGGCGTGCACCTCAAGGACCTGGTGGCCGTGCACCTGGCACTGCCCGACTGGCGCGACGCCGCCCACACCCGCCCCCACGCGCCCAAGATGCGCCAGCTCTTTGCCATCCTCGACCAACTGGCACTGGTGCCTGGGCTGCAGCCACCCTGCACCGCCGACCCTGACCTGCTCAACCTGCTCGCGGTGAGGCCCCCGGACCCCCCTACCCCCCCCCGACCCAAGACTGCTGGCAGCGAGATCCCTCTGACGTGCCCCCTGCCCCGCAGGTGTCGCTGGACCAGTACCAGACTGACGACGAGATCTACCAGCTCTCGCTGCAGAGGGAGCCCCGCAGCAAGTCGGCCGTGAGTGTGCGTGAGCATGCAATGCACAGGAGCATGTGTGAGGCAGCTGGGAGTGTGCATGGATGTGCAATGCATGGGGTGTGCAAGATGGCAGGAAGTGTGCACAGGTGTGCAATGCACAGGGGCATGTGCAAAGTGGCCACGAGTGTGTGGGTGCATATAAAAGGAATCTGGGAGTATGCATGGGTGTGCAACACACAGGGGCATGTGCAAGGTGACTGGGAGTGTGTGGGGGCATGTGCGAGGCAGCTAGGAGTGTGCATGGGTGTGCATTGGATGGGGGCATGTGTAAAGGGGCCAGGAATGTATGGGGGTATGTACAAGGAAGCTGGTAGTGTGCATGGGTGTGCAACACGTGGGAATATGTAAGGTGGCTGTGAGTGTGCACCGGTGTGTGATGCACAGGGACACATGTGAGGTGGCCGGGAGTGTGTGGGAGCACATGGAAGGCAGCTGGCGGTGTGTGTGGGTGTGTGATACATGGGGGGGGTGCAAGATAGGTGGGGGTGTGCACAGACATGCAATGCATGGGGGCACATGCAGGGTGGCCAGGAGTGTGTGGGGGCACATGTTAGCCAGCTAGAGGTGTGCATGTGTGTGCAACACATGGGGGTGTGCAAGGTGGCTGTGTGTGTGCACTGGTGTGTGAAGAATGGGGGCACATGTGAGGCAGCTGGGAGTGTGCATGGGCATGTGACACATGGGTAAGTGTGCAAGGCAGCTGTGTATGTGTGGCTGTCTGATGCATGAGGCACGTGCAACATGGATGTGAGTGTGGGGGGTGTCACACAGGATTGTGTGCAAAGCAACCCTGAGTGTGCATGGGTGTGCAATGCACAGGGACATGTGCAAGGCAGCTGTGTATGTGCGTGGGTGTGCGCTGCATGGGGGTACATGCAAGGCAGCTATAAGTTTGTGGGGGCGTGTGCAAGGTGGCTGGGGGGCATGTGGGTGTGCAATGCACAGGGATGTATGCAAGGGCAGCTGGGAGTGTGTACAAAGGCACAATATATGGGGGTTGCTGTGAGCGTGCTTGGGAGTGTGACACACGTGCCAGATGTCTGGGAGTGTGCGCAGGCATGTGGTGCACGGGGACGCATGCGAGGCAGACATGAGTGTGTGCAGGTGTGGGGTGCACAAGGGCTGGTGTGCAAACCCCGTGTGTCTGTGTGCAGCCATCCAGCCCCACGTGCACCGCCCGCCCGCCCGAGCTGGACGAGTGGGCGCTGGCCGCCAAGCCCAAGCCCAACCCGGCGCTCGTGCGAGAGCACATTGAGAAGATGGTGGAGGTGGGCCGGGGCTGGGGGAGGGCCTGGGGTGGGGGTGGGATCCAGGC